CCCACAGCCCCACCCCCGGCCCGCCCGCGGGCCCACCCTCCCCGGGCGCTCGGTCCCCCCAGGCTGGGATCCCGGCAGGGTGGCCCCACACACTGGGAAGTGCCGCAGGGTGGCAGTCTGGAGGCCCCACAAGCCCCTTGCTCAGACACTACCATGCTCTGGACCAAGGGAAGGACTGGACCAGCGAGGGGGCTCAGGAAAATCGAGGGGTGGACGCGAGGGTGGGCAGACCCCACACCTCTTCAGCTCCTGCGGAAGCCCCGCCCTCGAGGGGATGCCCCAGCCCAGCGCCCTGGCGGCCAGAAGGGAGGTTTCCAGCCAGGCGGCCTGGTGGGTGGCCTCAGGTAGGGGCGGGGCCTGTTGGGCAGCCCTGGTCCCCCGAAGGAGGCAGGAGCCGTCTGCAGCTAACCTAGTTTATTCAACACCCTGCACAACAGCACCAACACAACATGGTCTAAACTGCGAGGAAGTTACAAATCTCAAAACGAATTTTATAGCACGGACTGTACAACAGAAGCCAACAGGAGAGCAATGTACAAGCTGCCGAGGTGACCTGCAAACCACGAGTGACACCAACGGGGACCCGGGACCCTGCAGAGCTGGGGCTGCTCCCAGGTCCGAGGGGAAGCGGGGCGCAGCCCGCCGGGCGAGGGCTCTTCCGGCGCTTGGCCCAGGGTCAGAGGGGGAGCCTGGGCAGGCCGGGGAGCTGCAGAAGGGGCTCGGGGGCGGCACTCCGGCAGCAGCCCTGCCACGGAACTTTCTCGGCAACTGGAAACACGGCGCTTTCTCGCCAGAGAACTGGGGGCATCGTGAGGCGCCGCCCCAAACCAGCAGTCCGGAGCCGGAGCCTTCGAGGACTCGCTGCAGCCTGCCGAGCGGGGGATCTCGCTCCTCCGGCGGCCTTCGGCTAGAAAAGTGACGACACGGAGCTGGACGGGACTTAAGTTACAGGGGCAGCGCGGGGGGCCCGCCTGTGGCCTATCGGGAGGAGTTGGAGCTGGAGCGGCTCCGGTGGCGGCGGCGGCCGGGGGAGCGTGAGCGCCGGCGCACGGGGGATCTGCGCCGAGGGGAGCGTGACCTGCGGGAGGAGGAGAGATGTCAGACGCCAGGAAGCCAGGACCCCCCAGAGCAGCTCCCACCAAGCAGGATGGGCCCTGATCTTCCTCCCCTGAAGGAACCCAGATGGTGGAAGGACCGGCCGGACGGCGTGGGCGCGGGGCCTCCAGCCATGTCCGCTGCTCGGTGTCAACAAACCCAAGCCGGCCCCTCCGTTGTGCACGAGACCCCAGGCAGGCTCACCGTCTCCTCATCCGTGGGGGTGAGCGGCGCCACATGGGGGGCGGAGGCAGCATCCTCCTGGGGGGGCTGAAACGCCTTGGGGGTGGCCGAGGCCAGGGGGCCAGCACAGCAGTGGCCGTGATCTCCTGGCCATCAATTTGTCCTGTGGGAAAAGGGATCAAGCTGCAACGAGCAAGCAGCGACGCTAGGAAGGGCCACTGACCGCACCAAAGCTGAGCACGGGCGGCAGGACCCAGCAGGAACAGGCCACTGTGAAGGGAGTTCCCCCAAGAGAACATGCAGGCGCAGATCTGACGGGCTCTCAGAGGAGACATCTAAGGCTGAAGCCTGACGGCAGGTGGAACCACCACGTGGAGGAGGAGCAAGAGGCCGGAAGACCCGGCAGGAAGGCCTGTGAGGAGCTGCGGCAGAAGTGAGGTAAGAACCGGGGTGGCCAGGGCCTGAAGCAGAGGCTGGGGGGACCGTGCCCCATTGTGGGCCAGTCCTGATAAGTGGGCTCAGGAGACGCCTCTGGGGGAGCGGCAAGGTGCAGAGACTCAGATGGCAGGAATTAATTTGCCTGAGAAATTTAGAAAAAGTGACCCAGAGAAATGACCACCCACAGCCAGCACTGAAAACCAGCTCAGTGGTACCACGGGGCTAGGCCATGGCTCCAGGGGCGACCTGCAGTGCCTGGGGGTGAGCCAAGGAAACTGGGCCACAGATCCAGGACCCTGGGGGGCCACCACACACTCCAACCTAGGGGGGCCAAACACAGCTGTGTCGTTCCCCGGGGGCCGTAGGGTGGAGGCTGCCCTGTTTCATAAGAAAACAGAAGCCTGAGCCGGTTTTATTACAGAAACCTTGGCGCCACTCACTTGTTCACCAGTCTGTTCTGTATTCTGGGGGCACCAGAACCCCCAAGGAACCGTGAGCAGCGCTGCACCTCCCACAGCTGTGCCCAGCTCAGTGTGCCGCCACTGCAGGCATGGGCCCCTTTCTGGCCAACAAGGGGTCATGCTCTGTGTCAGGTTTCAAGGTGGGCAGCTGTGGGCAAGTCGCCCAGTAGTGCAGCGGCTGGCCCGATCACCCCCAGCTGGCACCCAGAAGCTACAGGCTCTAGCAACTCTCCTCCTCCTTTGCAGCCACCGTCTTCCTGGTGGTTCCCACCAAGAGCCCCCAGAATGGTTGGTGAGAGGGTGGCGGGCTCCCCTCACACAGGCAGCGCCATGTGCGCCGTGTGGGCTTACGCAGAGTGACAGGCCCTGCGGCGGCCCCGCCAGACGCCCAAATAAGGGGTTTCATGGCACTGACTGGCAGGAAGAGATAAAGCTACCTGTGTCCGGCGGCCAGTACCAGCCACACCCTCCCCGCCCTACTGGCGCCCATGCGGAGGGGTCACCTGCAGCAGTTTAAGAACAAAACAGGGACACAATTCTCTTAGGACACGGAGCAGCTAACCACACACCCCACCCCACCCCCGCGTGCCCACGTCTCGTCTCTGCGAATGCTCGGACGGCGTCGTACTGAGGGACTGATGGCCCTCACGCGGGGGTGACCACGAGGGCAAAAGCCGACCGACGCAGCGGGATGCAGTGGTGCATAGCGAGCACAGAGCACCGCCTGCTGGCCAAATTCCACTGGGCCGGAGACTGGCCACCCAAGACCCCGAGGCGGGCTAGTCCGCGTCCTCCCATGTGGCACGGCAGCCCACGCGTGGGCAGTGCTGGCCCTGGGCCCTGGCTCTGGCACCCACAGTGAGGCAGACACCCCAGCTGCTCAATGGTGACTTGGAAAACGAAAGAAGCCATCAGAAAGCACTCCCCGTGCCCACAGGCTGGGGACTCACTGCGCCCACACAGCTCAGAAGCTAGACTTCAGGAAGGGGACGAAACGGGCGAATTCCGCAAAGCACCCCCGACGCTGCTGAAATGTCAGTGAAGGAGAAAATGACTCAGAGGATTGAAGGAACCTTTTCACACAAACAGCTCATGCTGCCCGGGATATGCCCTTTACCAAAACCCTTCGTGTCGTTTTTAGGCTTCAGACAAATCGGAAAACTCTTGAAACGCTGACAGTAATATTTGGAGAGCTTTACCCTGAGAGTACTGTTCCGTAAAACACGCCTGTGGGAACCACACCCACTGGGTGTGGAGCGGACAGCAGGCTGGACACCAGCTCTGACGGCCTCTAGTGGGGGCGGGGCAGGGGGGCAGAGGGCTGCTGGCGGTCACCCACCTCCGTCCATGTGCTTCAGCGCCTTCTCCGCTTCATCCGGGTTCTCAAACTCGACGTACGCGTAGCCTTTTGAGAGATGCGGGTGCATCCTCTCCACGGGCATGTCGATCATCTTGACCTTCCCGTAGGTGGAGAAGATCTCCATGATGTGGTCCTAGGGGAGAGTGCCACACCCAGCCAGGAGTCAGGGCTGCCCACCATGGCCGCACACGTTGGGGCCGACACCCGGACACGTGGGCGGAGGCGCCCAGAGGGGCCCGCCCTGCTGCGGAGGCCCTCACCTTGGTCACGTTCCTGGTGAGCCTCCCGATGTGCACCTTGGTGGGCTTAGGGGAAGGGCTGCGCCTTTTCCTTTCCTTTTCATCTCTTTTCGGTGGCTTGGATCTGACCGAGGGAAAAAAGCCCGAACACCAGACAATCAACGAGTGGGCAGCCCCGTTTGAGCGGGGACGCCGGCCGCTAGCCTAGCCGTGCCCTTGAGCAGGACGCTTCCCGCGGGCAGCGGCGCGTCGCCCCTGCCACGGCCACCACCGACGCGTGGCGCTGCGCCTTTCCAGACAAAGGCCTCCCGCGGGTCTGCTGCGGCCGGATGACCGCGGCTGTCTCGTTCCCGTTTGTAAACTAAGTTCCCAGATAAGCCCCGAGCTGGAGGGCCGGGGGCCGGACGACACTCACTTGGAGCGGGACCGCCGCCTGTTGTCGTGTCTGCGCCGAGAAGGGCTGGGAGAGCCGGAGGAGCTGCTGGAGCTGGAGCTGCGCGATGTGCTGGAGCTGCCCGAGCGGCTGGAGGCCGAGGAGGAGCTGGAGCCGCTGCTGGAGCCCGTGCTGGTGCTGGAGCCCGAGCTGGAGGTAGAGCTGGAGCGAGACCTGAGGGTGAGACGGAGGCCGTCTTGGACCACAGCGGCGGGCGGCCGGCGGCACTCCTCGGCACGAGCCAGCCCGTGCGCCCCCTGGGCCTCCGCCTCCTGAAGCCCCCTCGGCTGGGCGCAGCGAGCGTCCCCCGGGCCAGTTTCACCGCGGGGAAGCCAACTCTAGCCAGGGCCTCCCGCCACAGCTCCCAAAGAGGCCCACCTGAGGGGCCCCGCCCCCGGCAGCGCGCCCCGGGGAGGGGGTGGCGGCAGCGGCCCCTCAGCCCCACCTGGTGCTGCTGCTCCCGCTGGACGCGCTGCGCCGCTTCCGGGTCTTGTCCCTGCCGCGGTCCTTCTCGCCCGACTCCTTGGTGGCCCCTTTATCTTTGGAGCGGTCCTTGGACTTCTCGTCAGAGCGGTCCTTGCGTTTGGTCGGAGAAGGCGCCCTGGGCGGTGAGGCAGCGTGTGAGCGCCCGCCCTCACGAGCCCTCCGCGCTAGCACCACCCAAGAGGGGGACTCCAGAGGGCCAGAGGTCCCGGCCACCACGGAGCGAGTCGCGCTGGGCTGAGGACACTCTCGCTGCAGTGTGCGCGTCCGCGAGCTTCCCCTCTCTGCAGGTGCTGGCAGTGAGCACCCCACATAGCACTGAACAATCTGACAGAGGGATTACCTAGTGCTGGACTTTTTATTATTTTCCTTGACTCCTAGCAAGCTCTTCTTTTTCACTCCTGATAAATCCATTCTCCCCTTCTCAGGTGTTCAAAGCAGCAATGGCGGCCTCACTTATCTGAACTCTCACTTCTAACTTGAGTCTGAGAAACGATCCCTAATCGATTGCAATTTACGCCCAAGTGCAGCCTGATGACAAGATAAAAGGGTTTACAGAGTGAACGCACCGACAGGCGCGGCGCCCACCCACTCTGCACAGGGCGCGGGCGGGCCCCGCCAAGCAGCGCCCACCCGAGGCCGAGGCGCCGCGCCCAGAACAGCCCAGGGGGCTCACTGAAGCTCTGGTTCTGCGCGACCCGGCTGGCGGCGGCCCCCTCGCAGCCCCCGGGGAGGGCGAGACACCGCCCGGCGCCCGTCGGAGCGCTGGGGAGCAGCCAACCAGCCCGCGGCTCGCTCGGAACCGCACGGAAACGGCGGCGGGCAGGCGCGCGCCAGGGGCCGGCGGTGGCGGGGAGCAGCGACGGTTCCCCCGCACCCCGCTTGCAGCTTCCGTCTACTCGCACGTTTCTAAAAAATAAAGCGGGGGGAGACACGGGGCAGGGGGCGGCTGCACC